GAGAAGAAGGGAGGGGAGGAAGGAAGGAAGGAAGGAAGGAAGGAAGGAGAAGAGGAGGAGAGAGGAGAGGAAGGAAGGAAGGAAGGAAGGAGAAGAGGAGGAGAGAGGAGAGGAAGGAAGGAAGGAAGGAAGGAAGGAAGGAAGAAGATGGGAGGGGGAGGAAGGAAGGAAGGAAGGAAGGAAGGAAGGAAGGAAGGGGGGCATCCCAAAGAATCCTTCTGGGACTCTTTTCAAACATCTCCATTGAAGGCCAACTCAAGCCTTCGGAGGAACAAGCGTCGGCCGAGCCCTCCTTGAAAAGGGCCACCTAGACTTTGCCCAGCCCCCCCCCGGGGGGTGGGCAGGGGGGGCACTTCCTCCTCCCAGCCCCTTGTTTCCTCCTGGGGGCAGATGGCCAGTGGGCGAAGGCTCCAGAACCGGAGACCAGACGGTGCCCTGGACGGAAGTCCACGGTCCAGAGCAAACAGGGGACGGCAAAAGCGAGGTGACCCCCTCCCCTCCGAGAAGGTCCCTTGAAAGACCCTCTTCCCCCAAACTTTGGACCCCCCCTTACCCTGTGCAGGGCCGACACCGTCTGGAAGGAAGACCCCTTCTTCTTATGCATCCCCTTCCCCTTGGTGGTCTCCAGCGCTGCGGAGGAGAGAGAAAAGACGGAAGGATCCAGCTGAAAAGCAAACTTCTGAGCCCAGTGGATTCCGGCTGCCGGCCGGCTGAGTCCCGGACTACAATTCCCATCATCTCCCGGCCGGCCCGAAGGCAGGCCGGCTGGAGAAGACGTGGGGTGGAATTCCCCACCTCTGGAGGACCCCTCTGCTAGGGGAAGGCGGAGTTGTATTTCTTTTAAATAAAAGCAAAGCCCGGCATGAATCACGAAGACAGAAGCAACCGCCTGACATTAGGCCAGACAGACTAACTGCCTCCTTAGCTAAAGTCCTCAACTTAGGACCGTTCGTTTAGCGACCGTTCAAAGTTGCGAGGACGCTGGGGGGAAAAAAAGGGACTTCTGGACAGTCCTCGCTCTTAGGACCGTCGCATCCTCCCTGCGGTCACGTGATCGGAATTTGGGCCCCTGGCACCCGGCATGTTCAGCTAGTCCTCTGTGTGCGACGACAACCGAGGCGGAAGTTTACGTTGCTAAGTGAGACGTTGGTGAAAGTGAATTTTGCCCGATTTTACCTTTTTACGTGGTGCTTTTCCAAACGAATATATGAGAAGACGAATTCTATTTGGCAAAGAATATAAGTCCTTCCCTTCCCCACCATTCGGTCAGAACCGAAGAAGCTGCTTGCATGGGAAGCGAAAGGTCTTCAAGGAAATCCAGTTGCCTTTTGGAATAAACGCCTCCGGAAGCCGTCGCTTCCCATTACCCTCATCAGAGCCCTGCCCTGCGAGGTAGGCCGCGCTGCTATCCTAAGGGCACCGAGTGTGCTTCATCCAGAATCTGAACCCATCTCTCTCTTTAGTCTAGAGTCCCATCCCACGTTTCACACAGTCACACTGGCTACCACACACCCTATTCTGAGGGCGGATGATGATAATAATAATAATAATAATAATAATAATAATAATAATAATAATAATAATAATAATAATAATAATAAAGTTGGAAGGGACCCTGGAGGTCATCTAGTCCAACCCCCTGCTCAGGCAGGAAAGCCTATGCCATTTCAGACAAATGGCTGTCCAGTCTCTTCTTAAAAACTCCCAGTGTCGGAGCATTCACCGCTTCTGGTGGCATGTGGTTCCACTGGTTAATTGTTCTGACTGTCAGGAAGTTTCTCCTTAGTTCCAGGTTGCTTCTCTCCTTGATTAGTTTCCACCCGTTGCTTCTTGTCCTGCCTTCAGGCGCCTTGGAGAATAGCTTGACTCCCTCTTCTTTGGGGCAGCCCCTGAGATACTGGAAGACTGCTATCATGTCCCCCCTCGTCCTTCTCTTCATTGGCCTAGTGCAGGGGTAGGCCACCTTGGCTCTTTTATGACTCGTGGACTTCAACTCCCAGAATTCCTGAGCCAGCCATGCTGAGGGGAAAGGGAGAGGTTTCCAAGCTGAGCCATGCTGGCTCAGGAATTCTGGGAGTTGAAGTCCACGAGTCATAAAAGAGCCAAGGTGGCCTACCCCTGTTATAGACAATCAATGTCCTAATTAGTTTTCCCCAATTTTTTTAGTTTCCCATTAATATTTAAATTTAACATTTAATGTTTATAATTTCCAAGTGTTAAGTAACCAAAGTTCCCTTTATCACAATTGATAATGATGATAAAGTTGGAAGGGACCTCGGAGGTCATCTAGTCCAACCTCCTGCTCAGGCAGGAAACCCTATACCATTTTGGACAAATGGCTGTCCAGTCTCTTCTTAAAAACTTCCAGTGTTGGAGCATTCACCGCTTCTGGAGGCAGGTTGTTCCACTGGTTAATTGCTCTAACTGTCAGGAAGTTTCTCCTTAATTCCAGGTTGCTTCTCTCCTTGATGAGTTTCCACCCGTTGCTTCTTGTCCGGCCTTCAGGCGCTTTGGAGACTAGCTTGACTCCCTCTTCTTTGGGGCAGCCTCGGAGATATTGGAACACTGCTATCCTGTCCCCCCTCGTCCTTCTCTTCATTAAACTAGACATACCCAATTCCATCAACCTTTCCTTATATGTTTTAGCCTCCAGTCCCCTAATCATGTTTGTTGTTCTTCTCTGTACTCTTTCCAGAGTCTCAGCATCTTTTTTACATCGTGGTGACCAAAACTGGATGCAGTATTCCAAGTGTGGCCTCATCACAAAGTCTAATGTTCGGGAGACACGTCTTATCTATCTGAATGTATTCTATTCCTCGCCATCTTACATCGTCTAATGAATAATGCCGTGTAACATTCTTATTTTCTATTCATTTCCAAACGTCTTACATTTAGTAACCAACGTTTCTCTGGTTTCAACATCAAATACTCCCTCTCTTTTTCTCTTCATCTCTGCTATCTCATATTTAAGCTAGTACAGTTCTTATTCTATCAGCTAAGTAAAAACATGGTTATTACATTTATCAATAGATTTCTTTTTAGCTTATGTAGATATATCTTAATTACTTTTACATCCAACCTTTACGAAAGGGTTATTTCTTACGTGCGTCAGCTCCAGCGTAGTTGGCAAACAGGTTGGCCAGGAGCTTCAGAGCTGACTTCTGGTAGAGGCCCACCACCGTTTCGTTGAGAGGGTCCTTGTTCTTCTGGAGCCAGCCTATGATGTTGTAGTCCACCGTGCCGGCGTAGTGCATCAAGGCAAAGTGCGCTTCGGGTTTCCCCTTGATGGCCCGTGCTTTGCCAAAATTGGCCGACTTGCCCAGGTGGTTATCGTACAGCTTGGCCTTGAAGGTCATGTCGGTGGCCTTGGGGAACATGCACTCTTCTTCCAGGATGGACATGATGCCCATGGGCTGAAGAAGAAGAAGAAGAAGACCAAGATATTATGACGGAGAAGGTCCGTCCTTCAATATCTCACCAAGGGGTTAACGCGAACGGCACTGACAGAGGGACAGAATCAAGATCACCTGCGTCCGTGATTTAAGGATTAAGATCTAAAGTTAGAAGTAAGAGAAAAAATGGGTGATTATTAGAATACATATTTTAAATAGACTAAGAATGTACTTTTTAGAATAATAGGTTTTATTTCCGTGAAACCTATTACGTAATGGAACGAAGAAAACCCTTTAGATCTGGATTGACTCAATTGGCAACTTAAATCTTTAGTAGATTTGAAACAAGAAAACATCGAATATTCTTGGTTTTATTATAATCAATTGTTAATGAGGTGGCATTTGGACCAAAAAGTTGGTATTACTTTACAGGATGTAAATTTGATGAAACAGATTAAAGATCAATCTCAAGCTCATATTAAAAGAATTTATAATGCATTGATTGAATTGGATTCAGAAACAGAATTGGTTAAGGATTGTATGATAAAATGGGCTCAAAATATACAAGAACCGATTTTATTGGAAACATGGGAGACAATTTGGATTAGGAATGTAAAATTTACTCAAGCTCAAAATTTAAGGGAAAATTTTTATAAAATGTTTTATAGATGGCATCTGGATCCTCAAAAATTGTCTTGTATGTATCCTAATTTACAACCTAAGTGTTGGAGATGTGGAAACTTAGATGCAACCTATTTTCATATTTGGTGGACATGCAGGGAAGTAAAAGCATTTTGGATTAAGATATGGTGGAATATTCAAAATATTTTTAAGAAAAAGATAAAGTTTAAACCACAGATATTTTTGCTGGGTATAATGGAAGACTTGGACGCAAAAGAAATGGAATTGATGTTGAACCTGATAACTGCTGCAAGACTACTAGTAGCTCAATGTTGGACATTGGACAACCATTTGTCTGAACTGGTATAGAGTTTCCTGCTTTGGCAGTGGGTTGGACTAGAAGACCTCCAAGGTCCCTTCCAATTCTGTTATTCTGTTGACGGGATATGTAAAAAGGTTAATGTCACGGTTCCGATAGGTGAGACCAATTAACTACTTGCCCTGGCTTTCTAGCAAAATATACAGCCCGCCCAAATGCAACTAGCAATGACCTTGGTTCCCACAGAACAATTTATTGTTATGTCTAAGCTAAAACACTCCTCCCAATTCTGTGGCAACCGAAAACGAAGGGAAATTGGCTTCCGCTGATTTCGTTGTAGAGTTGAACAATTAAATCATGGCAAACTGGACCAAAGTTTATTAAATGGAGACATTTCATTCTGGGGAGAAACCCCTGCAAGAGTTAGTACGTTCCCCTGACTCTCTGACTCTATGCCTAACCAAAAATATTCATTTTGACTGAAGACGTTATTTGGATGAGTAACTTGATGTTGACCCTAAAAACATTTGAGAACTACTAGCCCAACGTGATCCATCTTATCACCTCAATAGGGAACGGTTAACTCCTTAAATAAGATTTCCTCCTGGCTCTGGAGGGGTCACCACCCACTGGCCAGAATCAGGCATGAATAAGGAAAGTTGGTATTTTACAAAAGGCGTATGGAGAAGACCTTCTCAATGAGGTACCTTCTCAATGAGGTCGATGCAGGCCTGGAGGTCCATGCCGAAGTCAATGAAGACCCATTCGATGCCCTCCTTCTTGTACTCCTCTTGTTCCAGCACAAACATGTGGTGGTTGAAGAACTGCTGCAGCTTCTCGTTGGTGAAGTTGATGCAGAGCTGCTCAAAGCTGTTGAACTGGGGGGGGAGGGGAGGGGAAAGGAAGTTATGGACCTTCGCGCAGGTGAGCATTTCCAGAAGATCAGACTTTTTTTTCTTTTTTCAGCAGGGACCACTCTCAGTTAGATCAAGGTTCCTGGAAATTTGGGAGGGAGGGAGGGAGGGATGGAGGAAGGAAGGAAGGGTGGGTAGATGGAGGGAGGGATGAATAATGGAAAGATGGATAGATGGGTGGGTGGAAGGAAGGAAGGAAGGAAGGAAGGAAGGAAGGAAGGAAGGGTAGAGGGAGGGGGATGGAGGGATGGAGGGATGGATAGATGGATGGGTGGATGGGTGGGTGGGTGGGTGGGTGGAAGGAAGGAAGGATGGAAGGAAAGAAGGAAGGAAGGAAGGAAAGAAAGGAAGGAAGGAAGGAAGGAAGGAAGGGTAGAGGGAGGATGGATGGATGGATGGATGGATAGATGGATAGTTGGATAGATGGATAGATGGGTGGGTGGAAGGGTGGAAAGATGGATGGGTGGGTGAGTGAGTGGAAGGAAGGAAGGAAGGGTGAGTGGAAGGAAGGAAGGGAAGGAGGAAGGAAGAAAGGAAAGAAGGAAGGAAGGGTGGAGAGATAGATGGAGGGAAGGATGGATGGAGGATGCAAAGATGGATGGACGGATGGATGGATGGGCAGGTGGATGGATGGATGGAACAAAATCAGGGATGAATGAATGAATAGATGGGGGAATGGGTGGGGGGTTAGAAGAATGGAAAAATGGATGGGTGAATGGGTGAATGGATGGACCTGGTAAAAGCTCAACAAGATGGCCTTCGGTTCAAAAACCATCTCAACAGTTTCTAACTGCAAGCAAGATGGTGCCACCATCCATCCATCCATCTATCTCAACTTCTACCCAGTTGTTGCCTGGGAAATTCAGAGACCTGCAGTCCCAACACATTGGAGAATCAACTTGGAGAAGGTTGATACATCCAGTAAACAAAACAAGCCCACGACTCAAGAAGGAATGACTCACATCAAAGATCTCAAAGCCAGCAATATCCAACACCCCAATGAAATACTGTCGGGGAAGCTTAGTTTCCAGGGTGGTGTTGATTCTCATGACCATCCAGACGAACATCCTCTCATAGACAGACTTGGCCAGAGCACCAGTGGCGTAGTACACCTACGGAGGAAACGGAAGTTATGGGAAGACAAAGCTTGCTCCCTTCCTAAATTCTTCAACAAAGCTCAACACGAATAGAATAGAATAGAGTAGAGTAGAGTAGAGTAGAGTAGAGTAGAGTAGAGTAGAGTAGAGTAGAGTAGAGTAGAGTAGAGTAGAGTAGAATGGAGTAGAGTAGAATAAAATAATAAAATAAGGAATGGAATAGAATAGAATAGAATAGAATAGAATAGAATAGAATAGAATAGAATAGAATAGAATAGAATAGAATAGAATAATAAAATATAGAATAGAATAGAATAGAATAGAATAGAGTAGAGTAGAGTAGAGTAGAGTAGAGTAGAGTAGAGTGTATAGAGTAGAATAGAATAATAAAATAAGGAATGGAATGAAATGGAATAGAATAGAATAGAATAATAAAATATAGAATAGAAAGAATAGAATAGAATAGAATAATAAAATTAGAATAGAATAGAATAGAATAGAATAGAATAGAATAGAATAGAATAGAATAGAATAGAATAGAATAGGGAATGGAATAGAACATGGAATAGAATAGAATAGAACACGAAATAGAATAGAATAGAACAGAACAGAACAGAATAGAATGGAACAGAATATGGAATGGAATAGAACATGGAATAGAATAGAATAGAATAGAACAGAACAGAACAGAACAGAACAGAGTAGAGTGTATAGAGTAGAGTAGAGTAGAGTAGAATAATAAAATAAGGAATGGAATGGAATGGAATGGAGTGGAGTGGAGTGGAGTGGAGTAGAGTAGAGTAGAGTAGAGTAGAGTAGAGTAGAGTAGAGTAGAGTAGAGTAGAGTAGAGTAGAGTAGAGTAGAATAATAAAATAAGGAATGGAATAGTATAGAATAGAATAGAATAGAATAGAATAGAATAGAATAGAATAGTATAGAATAGAATAGAATAGAATAGAATAGAATAGAATAGAATAGAATAGAATAGAATAGAATAGAATAGAATACTTTATTGGCCAAGGGTGATTAGACACACAAGGAATTTGAATTAGACACCCAAGAAGACAATCTGAGTCTGCCTGGGTACGTGTGCATAAGAACATCTCACCACATTAAAAAAAAAAGAAAAAAGAAATCAAAGAAATAATATGTCCAGGCTGAGCCCGAATTTGAAAACTGGCTCCTTCTTATTTTTCTTCTGAGAGTTTGGACCAAGACGTCGGTTTTGTTTTTTTTCCCCTCTCTCGACAGGTGGGATTCTTACCTGTTGGACATTTTGCCCTTTGGTGACGTACTCGTTGCCCACTTTGACCCTCGGGTGGCAAAGCCCCTTGAGCAGGTCTGCGGAGTTCAGCCCCATCAGGTACGCTGACTTGTCAGCTTCTGCAAAGACCATGACAGGGTTTCAGTAGAAGTCCGTCTCTTGGGTTAAAGAAGATAGGGTGGACTAGGGCAGTGGTGGCGAACCTATGGCACGCGTGCCAGAGGCGGCACTCAGAGCCCTCTCTGTGGGCACGCGGGCCATGCCCCGGAGATGGCAACCGTCCCTCTTCAACCAGCCACCTGCTAACTTGCCGAGGCCCCACGTGGCTGGATGCATCCCAGCACCCATGCGCTCGCTGGCCTCTGTGTGCGGGGGCCGATGGTGTCAGGCAGCAGCCGCCCTGGCCCCTGCCTCACCTTGCCCTGTGACAATGGCACCCCTGCCTTGCCTCACCTCACCCCGCAGGACGAGCCTCCTGCCCTACCTGCCAGAGACCCCCTGGATCTCCCCCAACCCTACTCGGCCCCCACAGGCGTCCCTCCCCACAAGCAACATCGAGGTGATCATGCCCACCTTGGCCACACCCATCCAGTCTGCCATGACCACCAAAGCCACGCCCACCCAGTGGGCCACACCCACCTGGCACCCGGCGATAAATAAGTGGGTTTTGGGTTGCAGTTTGGGCACTCGGTCTCTAAAAGGTTCGCCATCACTGGACTAGGGCGAAGGTTTGTTCTCCGATCTTGTGGGTTGGTTTCCAAACGTTTCGTTACCAGGTAGTCAACCTCTTCAGCGGAGTTTAGGGGATGTCAGTGTCGACGTTCTTCTGTTTATAAGGGCTTCGGGTTGGGTGTGTCAAGAGAGGGTCTAGTGATGGGTCAGGTGTGAGACCCCAGTGAGAGGCTTGTGATGGGTCTTGTGATGGGGAGGTTATGTCATTGGGAGGGGAACTGGTGGGAGAGGGGGGACTGCGCGGGATGGTGAGGGTCGGTGCTTGTTCTTCTGTTTATAAGGGCTTCAGGTGTGGGTGTGTCAAGAGAGGGTCTAGTGATGGGTCAGGTGTGAGACACCAATGAGAGGCTTGTGATGGGTCCTGTGATGGGGAGGTTATGTCATTGGGAGGGGAATGATGGGAGAGGGGGGACTGCGTGGGATGGTGAGTGTCGGTGCTTGTTCTGTTTATAAGGGCTTCAGGTGTGGGTGTGTCAAGAGAGGGTCTAGTGATGGGTCAAATGTGAGACCCCAGTGAGAGGCTTGTGATGGGTCCTGTGATGGGGAGGTTATGTCATTGGGAGGGGAATGATGGGAGAGGGGGGACTGCGTGGGATGGTGAGTGTCGGTGCTTGTTCTGTTTATAAGGGCTTCAGGTGTGGGTGTGTCAAGAGAGGATCTAGTGATGGGTCAGATGTGAGACCCCAGTGAGAGGCTTGTGATGGGTCTTGTGATGGGGAGGTTATGTCATGGGAGGTGAACTGGTGGGAGAAGGGGGACTGCACGGGATGGTGAGGGTCGGTGCTTGTTCTTCTGTTTATAAGGGCTTGAGGTGTGGGTGTGTCAAGAGAGGGCCTAGTGATGGGTCAGGTGTGAGACACCAGTGAGAGGCTTGTGATGGGTCTTGTGATGGGGAGGTTATGTCATTGGGAGGGGAACTGATGGGACAGGGGGGATTGCACGGGATGGTGAGGGTCAGTGCTGTCTCTGGCTGGCTGTGCGGTTGATTTGGATAAGAGCCTCACTTGACAAACCCACACCTCAAGCCCTTATAAACAGAAGCGCACTGACACAGACATCCCCTAAATCACGGGTCGGCAACCCACAACTCCGGAGCCGCATGTGGCTCTTTGAGCCTTCTCCTGTGGCTCCCAGCCTCCTCCGCCATTTGCAGAGAGAGAGAGGCACTTGCGCTTCCCCCCCTCTCTCTCTGTGTATGTAAAAAAGAGAGTGGCCTCACACTGTTCTCGGAGAAGCTGACAAGCTTATTGGGCGGGGCTCCTGCCTTTGCTGCGTCTGTGCAGGAAGCAGGAAGCAGCAGAAACCAGAAAGCAGCAGCCCTCTCTCTCTCGCTCTGTCTCTCTCTCTCTCTCTCTCTCTCTCTCTCTCACACACACACACACACACACACACACACACACACACACACTGAGTGGGGAAAGAGGACTGGCAGACCAAGGGCAGGAGAGAGCCAGTCCAATAAGAATGTGTGTCAGCTTGTTGGAGAACAGCGTGAAGCCAGCTTGCCAGGTGAGCAGAAGATCGGAGACAGGGGAAGAGAGAGAGAGAGAGAGAGAGGAAGACAAAGAGAGAGAGAGGGAGGGAGGGAGAGAGAGAGAGAGGGAGAAAGAGAGAGAGAGAGAGAGAGAGAGAGAGAGAGAGAGAGAGAGAGAGAGAGAGAGAGAGAGAACCCATGCACAGCAGCCTCTATTTCTTTTTAATTAAACTCTTCAATCAAGCTCCCACCCCCCTACGCACGCGCACACAAGTTTTCCGGCTCCCAGCGCTTTCTTTTCTCTGGGAAACGGGTCCAAGTGGCTCTTTGAGTGTTTAAGGTTGCCGACCCCTGCCCTAAATTCTGCCTACCCTGGTAACGAAACATTCGGAAAACCAACCCACAAGCTCGGAGGACAAACCTTCAACCCCATCCTACACCCCCATCCTACAGATATTCGCCACTATTGCGCAGGGTGGACAGGTTGGAAAGGACTCGAGTGGTTGGTTGCCAGCTTGCTGTAGTGCAAGACCCAATCCGTAAAAACGTGCTTTCCCACAGAAAAGTGGGCTGAATATTTTTTTGATACACGTTTTGGAGAACCGAAACATTGAGTCGCATGCCTGAAGATCTCCACCTGGACATCTTTTAAAACCATAGAGGAGAGGAGAACGTAGACATGGAACCTTTGGCGTTTCCAATTCTTGTTTCCCTAGATCAGTGGTTCTCAACCTTTTTAATGCCGCGACCCCAACCGGTCGTAAATCGAGGACTAAAACAATCATAAGTCGAGGACTAAAACGGTCATAAGTCGAGGACTAAACTGGTCGTAAGTCGAGGACTACCCAACCGGTCGTAAGTCGAGGACTTTCCCTGCCCGGGAGCGCCGCGCATGCGTGGTTCCGCCCCCTGCGCCGGCCGAGGCGTAGCTGGCAAGCGGCAGAGACGGAGCAGGCCGACCACCAGCTGGCCCAGCCCAAGGGAGATAAGGCACCCGCCGGAAAAGGGGGAAAAAAATGGCGGACAAAAAAATGGCGGACAAAAAAATGGCGGACAGCCTTGCTTGGCGACCCCCGTGAAATGGTCGATCGATCCCAAATGGGGTCCCGACCCACAGGTTGAGAACCACTGCCCTAGATCTATAGTAGAGATTTTGCAAAATACTAGCTGGGAGTTTTCACAGTTCCCCACTTTAGAGCAGTGTTCCTCACCCTTGGTGACGGGAAGATGGGTGGACTTCAACTCCCAAGATTTCCCCAGCCAGCTTGGGAATCCTGGGCATTGAAGTCCACCCATCTTCACGTCACCACGGTTGAACGCCCACCCATCCAAGTTGCCAACGTTGAGAAACATTGCTTGAGAACGAAGGAGTCATTTCCTGCCCGTATGCATTTACGACGGTTGCAGCGCCCTGGGGTCATATAATCCCCTTTTGTGACCTTGTGACAAGCAAAGTCTCCCATAACTCAACCCTGGCTGAGGAATTCTGGGAGTTGAAGTCCACAAGTCATCAAATGGCCAAGATTGGAGAACTCTTGTTTTAGCTCAGGGGTAGGCAAACTTGGCTCTTGTATGACTCGTGGACTTCAACTCCCAGAATTCCTCAGCCAGCCTGGCTCAGCTTGGAAACCTCTCCCTTTCCCCTCAGCATGGCTGGCTCAGGAATTCTGGGAGTTGAAGTCCATGAGTCATAAAAGGGCCAAGGTGGCCTAGCCCTGGCCTAGCTGGAATGGGGTTGTCATGGAAACGTCTGCTGTGCCCACCAGGCAGAGGGATAAGGAGCTGGTTAGGGCTAGGAGAAAGCAGAGGGAATTATGGCTGGTGGAAGTGAAGCGCCATATTGAGAGAACAGTGAGGACTAGTGGCTTGATTGGAAGGGAGTTGTTGGACATCAGAACCCGGGGTTTCTGAACCTGTCACTTGAGGATGCCCTTTAATCCCCTTTTGTGACCTTCTGACAAACAAAGTCAAAAGGGGGGAAAGCCAGATCCGTTTAACCACGGTGGCAAAGAAGGTCGTAAAATGGGACACTTCAGTGTCTTGCTGAGCAAGGGAAATTTTTGAGTCGGTGGGGGGGGTCGTTAAGGGGAGGATTGCCGGCACCCATTTTATCGTTAACTGGGTATTAATCAATCTTTGTAAATTATTGCTCATATTCATAATTTGGTGGCGGCCCGGATCGTCTCTTCGCCTGACCTTCGGTGCCATCTGGCTCAGCCTGCTCTTCCCGCTGCTTCTGCTTGAACTTCATGTTGCCGTAGTGCATGATGGCCCCCGTCAACTTGTAGATGGAGTTTTTCTCCTCCTGGGTGAAGCCCAAGATGTCGAAGGCACTCTGGGTTTGGAGAAAACAAAAAATAGTTGATGAGTTCAACCCAAAGCCAGCTATGCAATTCCATCAAATCGATCTCTCAGATATAGGTTGGACTACAAGTCCCATGAGCCTTTGCTTGGGGAAGATTCAGGGCTCAATAGTTTAAAAACATCTTGGAAGTAAGGGTATCTAATCTGGCCAACTTGAAGAGCTGTGGACTTCAATTCCCAGAATGCCCCAGCCAGCCATGCTGGATGGGGAATTCTGGGAGTTGAAGTCCACAAGTCTTCAAGTTGCCTGGGTTCAGGGTTCAATAGTCCAAAATATCTTGAACTATGGGTGTCCAACCTTGGCAATTTGAAGACTTGTGGACTTCAACTCCCAGAATTCCCCAGCCAGCCATGCTGGATGGGGAATTCTGGGAGTTGAAGTCCACAAGTCTTCAAGTTGCCTGGGTTCAGGGTTCAATAGTCCAAAATATCTTGAACTATGGGTGTCCAACCTTGGCAATTTGAAGACTTGTGGACTTCAACTCCCAGAATTCCCCAGCCAGCCATGCTGGATGGGGAATTCTGGGAGTTGAAGTCCACAAGTCTTCAAGTTGCCTGGGTTCAGGGTTCAATAGTCCAAAATATCTTGAACTAGGGGTGTCCAACTTTGGCAATTTGAAGACTTGTAGACTTCAGCTCCCAGAATCCCCCAGCCAGCCGTGCTGGATGGGGAATTCTGGGAGTTGAAGTCCACAAGTCTTCACGTTGCCCAGGTTCAGGGTCCAATAGTCTGAATTATTGGGGTGTCCAACCTGGGCATCCAGCCATGCTGGATGGGGAATTCTGAGAGTTGAAGTCCACAGGTCTTCACGTTGCCAAGGTTGGGGACCCCTGATCTAGAAGCCAAGTTGGAGAACACTCAGAACATTACTCTACCCTCAGCAACTCACATCAGTTGCTAACAGTTCCTCTGCGTCATCGATCGAGGGCACCGTGGTCTCTCCTTGGGAGATAAAGGCGTAGTCGTAAGGATTGTTGGTGACCAACATCATATCTGGAAAGAGAAACAGATGGTAGAAGTCAGGCGTGGACACAACGTGGCCATCCTTCTCTTCCTAAGTGGTTCTTCCATCAGCAGAAGAGGTCAAGGACCGTTCTGAAATGCAAATCACACTTTACCAACGCTGTAAATCTCAAAACAGCTCACAACCGAACCATGGAAACCCTCTCGTGCAAACAACACATTTAAAGGACGCAGAAAGGTATAACGGGGAATGAAAACTAGGAATCAAAACAAGCTGTCCTTCACTCTTAGGGAGAAGGTCTGGCTGAGGTCTTCAACAATCATAGCCACCGCTTGGGCTTCACAGGAAGACGCTGTTTTGGAAGACAAGGGTCACCCCAGAAGAGACCAGGTACCGATAGCAGAGAATAATTTGTACCTTAGGTTTGGTGCTCTCTGAGCTTGGTTGTTTTCTTGTGGACCTTTCATGACCCAACTAGCCAACATCATGAGAGCTAGAAGGGAGTGGGGTTTGTGGAGTGGAGGAGAAAAAGAGAGGAGTGGGAGGAAGAGAAGGATGAGAAGGAGAATAGAGGAGGAGGAGGAGGACAACGATGACAACAATTGTGGAATCCCTATGAGCTTGCTTGTTTTCTTGCAGATGTTTCATGACCCAGCTGGATAACATCATCAGTGCTAGAAAGGAGTGGGCTTTGTGGAGTGGAGGAGAAAAGGGGGGAGGATAGCGGAGGAGGACGAGGAGAAGGACGAGAAGGAGAAGGGGGAGGAGGAGGAGGATTGTGGAGTCTCCTCTGAGCTTGATTGCTTTCTTGCAGACATTTCATGATCCCACCAGGTATCCTCATCAGTGCTAGAAGGGAGGGGGGAGTCTGCTCTTCAACAACCACGTTCAGAGAGCATCCAGGACCCCACAAGACCAGGTATGGTATTCTCAATTCTTTGGATTGAGAACCAGGTCAACCAGGTCTTCAACGCCGGAGATAAAGATGAACTTCAGACTAAGTGGAGGAGAATCGATCAAGGCGTCCAGTAGTCCAATCAAGGCTTCTTCAGTCTTAATAAGGTTGGAAAAGTCCCAGCACAATTAAGTTGAACTAGTGAAGAGGAACCCAATTCAACTCAGGCCGAGTCAAGAAAATCTGACTAGAAGCAACTAGAAGAGCATGGCCAACTCAACAAGACCAAGACACGTCAACCTGGACTCAACGAAGCCTTCCGGACTTCAAATATATGAACCCTTCAGGCCTGTACAAGGCCAAGATGGAAGAGATGTAGTTTATCTCTAACCAGTTTGGACAAGTTCACCTGAACCTCGAAAACAATGCGCCAAAATCTGGGATTGGTCCGAAAGATCATTCACGGAGCAGTACTCACCCAGTAGCTCTGGCTTCTTGTTGGACAAGATCTGGTAATAGATGTGATAATTCCTCTCAGACTTCAGCTGGAAGATGACCCTGGACTTTTCCAGGAGATCTGAAAAGAAGACAAAAAAGCAGAGAACGACAAAGATGCTGAGATGGTGAACGAGTGCGAAAAATCCAGAAGAAACAACCCAAGAACTTGCAAAGAATCCATCAAAGATGTGAGAATTCTGGAAACTCAACACTCACAGGTTTCTATGTCGGCTGACGCCAGCTTGCCTGTCGCCCCAAAATGGATTCGGATGAATTTACCCTGAAGAAGAAAGGAGGAATGGATTGAGAGCAAGTAGAAGCGTGCGAAGATTAGACAGGATGGTATCGCAGAAAGGACACGCCTTCTCCTTTTGCATCCATACTTACGAAGCGAGAGGAGTTGTCATTCCTTAGGGTCTTGGCGTTGCCGAAGGCCTCCAGAGCTGGGTTGGCTTGGATGACTTGATCTTCCAAGGTGCCCTGTGGATGGGTGAGGTGGAAGTATTAGACCAGGGGTCTTTAGTCTTGGCCCTTTAATGACTTGTGGACTTCAACTCCCAGAATTCCTCAGCCAGCGTGCCTGCCTGCCTCAGGAGTTCTGGGAGTTGAAGTCCACAAGCCATCAAAGGGCCAACTTTGAAGAACCGTGCATTAGAACAAGATAAAGATAAAAAAGATGTTGAGACTCTGGAAAGAGGGCAGAGAAGAGCAACAAAGAGGATCAGGGGACTGGAGGCTGAAACATATAAGGAACGGTTGCTGGAATTGGGGATGGCTAGTTTAATGAAGAGAAGGGGGGACATGATAGCAGCGTTCCAGTATCTCAGGGGTTGCCCCAAAGAAGAGGGAGTCAAGCTATTCTCCAAAGCGCCTGAAGGCAGGACAAGAAGCAAAAGATGGAAACTAACCAAAGAGAGAAGCAACCTAGAACTAAGGAGAAATTTCCTAGAAGTGAGGACAATTAACCACTAGAAGCGGTGAATGCTCCAACACTGGAAGTTTTTAAGAAGAGACTGGACAACCATTTGTCTGGAATGGCATAGGGTGTTGGACTAGAAGACCTCCAAGGTCCCTTCCAACTTTGTTATTCTATATCAGGGGTCTACAAGCGTGCCTGGCTGAGGAATTCTGGGAGTTGAAGTCCACAAGTCATAAAAGGGCCAAGTTTGAAGACCCCTGTTCTATATATTCTACGGAGGGTTAGAAGTCATAATGCAAGATAACCAGAGGCCACCATTGTTCTAATTAATGCTAATTAATTAATTGTTCCAATTAGCACGAATTAGTTAATTTTTCTAATTATTGCTAATTAATTATTTGTTCTAATTAATACTAATTAATTTTCTAAGTATTACTAATTAATTAATTTTCTAATTGGTATTAACCAATTAATTGTTCTAATTAATACTAATCAATTAATTAATTAATAATTAATAGCCCTTACTACTGGGCTATCTGGTTAGGGTTAATAGAAGTAGCACCCGGTTGAAGAGAACTGGTGTAATGTGTAGCCCAGCTTTAAATATGTAACTGTATAGCAGTGTTTTTTCAACCTTGGGAACTTTAAGACGGGTGGACTTCAACTCCCAGAATTCCCCAGCCAGCCATGCTGGCTGGGGAATTCTGGGAGTTAAAGTCCACAAGACTTAAATCTTCAAGTTGCCCAGGTTTAGGATCCAATAGTCTGAATTATTGAAGTAGGGGTGTCCAACCTGGGCATCCAGGCAAGCCGGATGGGGAATTCTGGGAGTTGAGGGTCCAGCCGTCTTAAACTTCCCAAGGTTAACAAAACACTGCCCGATTGGACGCTCACCTTCCCCGTTGCGGCCGCTTGGTCTTTCTTGCTACGATCGCCAATCGCAGCGATGACCGCGAAATATTGGATGACCCGCTTGGTATTCACAGTCTTCCCAGCACCGGATTCTCCGCTACAGGGAGGGGGGGAAAAAACAACATAATCTTAACTCAGGCCTGATCGATGGGACAGTGGATGTAAATAAGATCACCATTGGCGACCTGCCTAAGGCAGCTTCCCGACAAGCAAACTTGATTTGGGTAGAGTGGGGAAGCTGGATTCGCTTAACGACCGTGTGATCCACTTAACAACCGCAGTGATACGCTTACACACACACCCCCACGGCAAACCAATTGCAAAACAGCTTTGGCTCATGTAGCCACTGTCTTGCTTAGGCACGGAATTCTGGTCCCGTAAGTTGAGGACTCCCTGTATAGAGCAACATTTAGTCAACCCAGGAGACATCAGAAAGCTAAGCTAGGTCAGATCTGATCAGGGTGGGGAGCCCTCGACTTACAAAAGCCCATTTAGTGATCCTGTGAAGTTGCAACGCCACTAAAAAAAGGGACTCGCCACTGTTTTTCCACACTTACGACCGTTGTGGCATCCCCCAGGGCAGGGGTAGGAAACTTTGGCTCTTTTATGACTCGTGGACTTCAACTCCCAGAATTCCTCATTCCAGGGTATGTCTAGACCAGGGGTAGGCCACCTTGGCTTTTTTCTGACTCGTGGACTTCAGCTCCCAGAATTCCTGAGCCAGCCATGCTGAGGGGAAAGGGAGAGGTTTCCAAGCTGAGCCAGGCTAGCTCAGGAATTCTGGGAGTTGAAGTCCACGAGTCATGAAGGGAACCATAGTTCCCCCATGCTGGCTCAGGAATTCTGGGAGTTGAAGTCCACGAGTCATAAAAAGGGGCCATAGTTCCCCACCTCTGGTCTAGGGCAGGGGTAGGCAACCTTGGCTCTTTTATGACTCGTGGACTTCAACTCCCAGAATTCCTGAGCCAGCCATGCTGAGGGGAAAGGGAGAGGTTTCCAAGCTGAGCCATGCTGGCTCAGGAATTCTGGGAGTTGAAGTCCACAAGTCATGAGGGGGCCAAAGTTTCCCTCATGCTGGCTCAGGAATTCTGGGAATTGAAGTCCACGAGTCATAAAAGAGCCAAGTGGCCTAGCCCTGCCCCAGGGTCACGTGATCCAAATTCAGACGCTTGGCAACTGACTCGTATTTATGACGGTTGCGGCGCCCCGGGGGGGTCACGTGATCCCCTTTTGCAACCGTCTGACAAGCAAAGTCAAGGGGGAAGACGGATTCATTTAACGACAGTGTTCCTAACTTAACAACTGCAGCGATTCACTTAATAACTGAGGCCAGATTCATCTAATAACAGGAGGTTTGAGGGTCAATTGTGTTCTTAAGTTAAGTTGATCCTACCAATTCTTTTATGTGGGCTTAATGTGGGCGCTCCATCACTGGAGATTTTTAAGAAGAGACTGGACAGTCACTTGTCTGAGATGGTGTAGGTTCTCCTTCTTGAGTGGGGGGCTGGACTAGAAGACCTCCAAGGTCCCTTCCAGTTCTATTCTATTCTATTCTATTCTATTCTATTCTATTCTATTCTATTCTTCATTCCATTATTCTATTCTATTCTATTCTATTCTATTCTATTCCATTCCATTCCATTCCATTCCATTCCATTCCATTCCCATTCAATATTTTCTATTGTATTGTATTGTATTGTATTGTATTGTATTGTATTGTATTCTATTCTATTCTATTCTATTCTATTCTATTCTATCCATTTCATATTCTATTCTATTCATTTCTATTCTATTCTATATTTCTATTCTATTCCTATTCCTATTCTATTCTATTCTATTCTATTCTATTCTATTCTATTCTATTCTATTCTATTCTATTCTATTCTATTCTATTCTATTCTATTCCCATATTTTCTATTCTATTCTATTCTATTCTATTCCTATTCCTATTCTATTCTATTCTATTCTATTCTATTCTATTCTATTCTATTCTATTCTATTCTATTCTATTCTATGTTATGTCCCTATAGCTTCCTGCTAGGTCAAAGACTGAAGAAAAACCACTTTAATTTCACTGTGAGAAGGAGACAACCCCCCCCCCACCTCCAATCAAAATGGAAAACAAGTTCCACGGGGTTGGTAAGCTACCTAAATAGCATTTTGATAACTAAACAGTATTTTGAAAGGTCAAGGCAGGAGTTGGAACTTACGTGATAAGAATGGACTGGTTCTCCCGATCTAGAAAAGAGAAGGGGAAAAAAAAGATTTGAAAAGATAGGGAGAAACAAGAAAGCAAGGGAGGAAGAGCAGAAGGAGAAGGAGATAGATGAGGAGAAAGAAAAAGAAGGGGAGAGGAGGAGGAGAAGATGGAGGAGTAAGAAGAGGAGGAGGAGGAGATAAGACAAGGAGGAAGAGAAGGAGAAGGCGAAAATAGACAAGGAGGATGGGGAAGAAGATAGACAAGGAGGAAGAGGAGGAAGAGAAGAAGGAGAAGCAGAAAACAGATGAGGAAAAGAAGGAGAAGATAGTCAAGGAGGAAGAGAAGGAAAAGGGGATGATGGACAAGGAGGAGGAGGAAGAAGAGAAGAAGGAGAAGATAGACAAGGAGGACGAGGAAGAAGAGAAGAAGGAGAAGATAGACAAGGAGGACGAGGAAGAAGAGAAGAAGGAGAAGATAAACAAGGAGGACGAGGAAGAAGAGAAGAAGGAGAAGATAAACAAGGAGGAAGAGGAAGAAGAGAAGAAGGAGAAGATAGACAAGGAGGAAGAGGAAGAAGAGAAGAAGGAGAAGATAGACAAGGAGGACGAGGAAGAAGAGAAGAAGGAGAAGATAGACAAGGAGGAAGAGGAAGAAGAGAAGAAGGAGAAGATAGACAAGGAGGACGAGGAAGAAGAGAAGAAGGAGAAGATAGACAAGGAGGAAGAGGAAGAAGAGAAGAAGGAGAAGATAGACAAGGAGGA